GTAATGTGGAGTTCCAATGAAAATCGGCTTAAGTCCAGTCAGGGTCTGGACATGTTGCCATGACTGGTACCCGCATTAAGAGACTCTATTTCGGGGTAAACTGTATCCATGTTGCCCCCTGGTTCTTGTTCCTTATACCCTGGATGTATGTTGGTGTCCCTGGAAGAATGCAATGTGGAGTTCCAATGCAAATCGGCTTAAGTCCAGTCAGGGTCTGGACATGTTGCCATGACTGGTACCCGGCTAAAGAGACACTATTTCGGGGTAAACTGTATCCCTGTTGCCCCCTGGTTCTTCATCCTTATACCCTGGATGCATGTAGATGGGCCTGGAAGAATGCAATGTGGAGTTCCAATGCAAATCGGCTTAAGTCCAGTCAGGGTCTGGACATGTTGCCATGACTGTTACCCGGCTAAATAGACACTATTTCGGGGTAAACTGTATCCATGTTGCCCCCTGGTTCTTGTTCCTTATACCCTGGATGTATGTTGGTGTCCCTGGAAGAATGCAATGTGGAGTTCCAATGAAAATCGGCTTAAGTCCAGTCAGGGTCTGGACATGTTGCCATGACTGGTACCCGCCTTAAGAGACACTATTTTGGGGTAAACTGTATCCATGTTGCCCCCTGGTTCTTGTTCCTTGTACCCTGGATGCATGTAGATGGGCCTGGAAGAATGCAATGTGGAGTTCCAATGCAAATCGGCTTAAGTCCAGTCAGGGTCTGGACATGTTGCCATCACTGTTACCCGGCTAAAGAGACACTATTTCGGGGTAAACTGTATCCATGTTGCCCCCTGGTTCTTCATCCTTATACCCTGGATGCATGTAGATGGGCCTGGAAGAATGCAATGTGGAGTTCCAATGCAAATCGGCTTAAGTCCAGTCAGGGTCTGGACATGTTGCCATGACTGGTACCCACCTTAAGAGACACTATTTCGGGGTAAACTGTATCCATGTTGCCCCCTGGTTCTTCATCCTTATACCCTGGATGTATGTTGGTGTCCCTGGAAGAATGCAATGTGGAGTTCCAATGAAAATCGGCTTAAGTCCAGTCAGGGTCTGGACATCTTCCCATGACTGGTACCTGCCTTAAGATACACTATTTCGGGGTAAACTATATCCATGTTGCCCCCTGGTTCTTGTTCCTTATACCCTGGATGTATGTTGGTGTCCCTGGAAGAATGTAATGTGGAGTTCCAATGAAAATCGGCTTAAGTCCAGTCAGGGTCTGGACATGTTGCCATGACTGGTACCCGCATTAAGAGACTCTATTTCGGGGTAAACTGTATCCATGTTGCCCCCTGGTTCTTGTTCCTTATACCCTGGATGTATGTTGGTGTCCCTGGAAGAATGCAATGTGGAGTTCCAATGCAAATCGGCTTAAGTCCAGTCAGGGTCTGGACATGTTGCCATGACTGTTACCCGGCTAAAGAGACACTATTTCGGGGTAAACTGTATCCATGTTGCCCCCTGGTTCTTCATCCTTATACCCTGGATGCATGTAGATGGGCCTGGAAGAATGCAATGTGGAGTTCCAATGCAAATCGGCTTAAGTCCAGTCAGGGTCTGGACATGTTGCCATGACTGGTACCCGCCTTAAGAGACACTATTTCGGGGTAAACTGTATCCATGTTGCCCCCTGGTTCTTCATCCTTATACCCTGGATGTATGTTGGTGTCCCTGGAAGAATGCAATGTGGAGTTCCAATGAAAATCGGCTTAAGTCCAGTCAGGGTCTGGACATCTTCCCATGACTGGTACCCGCCTTAAGAGACACTATTTCGGGGTAAAATGTATCCATGTTGCCCCCTGGTTCTTGTTCCTTATACCCTGGATGTATGTTGGTGTCCCTGGAAGAATGCAATGTGGAGTTCCAATGAAAATCGGCTTAGGTCCAGTCAGGGTCTGGACATGTTGCCATGACTGGTACCTGCCTTAAGAGACACTATTTCGGGGTAAACTGTATCCATGTTGCCCCCTGGTTCTTGTTCCTTATACCCTGGATGTATGTTGGTGTCCCTGGAAGAATGCAATGTGGAGTTCCAATGAAAATCGGCTTAAGTCCAGTCAGGGTCTGGACATCTTCCCATGACTGGTACCCGCCTTAAGGGACACTATTTCGGGGTAAACTGTATCCATGTTGACCCCTGGTTCTTCTCTCCTGGTGTCCATTTCATGTATATTTCCTCGTGTCCATTTCATGTACATTTCCTCGTGTCCATTTCATGTACATTTCCTCGTGTCCATTTTATGTACATTTCCTCGTGTCCATTTCATGTACATTTGATGGGGGAGTCACATGTGGATGAAATGGACCCAATTCCCGGAGGTTCCGGGCCGAATTTGGGAGCTCATATGCGGCCTGCCGTGCACCCCCACCCGTGGAAAGCAAAAAAAAGTAAATAAAACGGTCAATTATATCTTAAATTCATCAAAAACTACGTTTTTTAAAATTCTCGAAAAACCGCTAAGTGCCAACGGGTGAGGGGGTCAACCCTTCGGCGCTTCGGGCGGAAGCCCCGGAGACATTTCCACTGACCCGTTGCACTTTTCAACGTAGAGGGGAATTCAGACCTCCCCTCCTCCGTTAACAATTTTCATTCATCTTTTCCAAGCTACCTTCTGCACGAAATCGGAAACCCGGTTTTTGAGAGCACTTAGAAAAAAACGGCCTATTTCTCATGATGGGGAAATCATGGAGGAATGCGTCCGATGAGTGAGTACTTTGGATCGGATACAATTGTTGCCCGGAGGACCCCCAATCACGGTTCTTACAAAACTTTAAGTTTTTGAACTGGCCTCTGGAGGAATGCAAGGGGAGTTTCCACGGAATAACGAGACACTATTTTCGGACACATTTTATCCATTTTAACCCCTTTCTCTGGTTCTTCCAAAAGTTAACTTTAACTTATTTTGCCTCTGGAGGAATGCAAGGGGAGTTGCCAGGGGACTCTACCTGCATTATGAGGCACTATTCCCGGATACATTTTATCCATTTTCACCCCTTTTCATGGTTCTTCCAAAAGTTAACTTTAACTTTTTCTGCCTCTGGAGGAATGCAAGGGGAGTTGCCAGGGGACTCTACCTGCATTATGAGGCACTATTCCCGGATACATTTTATCCATTTTCACCCCTTTTCATGGTTCTTCCAAAAGTTAACTTTAACTTTTTCTGACTCTGGAGGAATGTAGGGTGAGTTGTCAGGGGACTCTACCCGCCTTAGGAGGCACTATTCCCGGATACATTTTATCCATTTTCACCCCTTTTCTATGGTTCTTCCAAAAGTTAACTTGAACTTTTTCTGACTCTGGAGGAATGTAGGGTGAGTTGTCAGGGGACTCGACCCGCCTTAGGAGGCACTATTCCCGGATACATGTTATCCATGTTAACCCCTTTATCTGGTTCTTCCAAAAGTTAACTTTAACTTTTTCTGACTCTGGAGGAATGCAAGGGGAGTTGCCAGGGGACTCTACCTGCATTATGAGGCACTATTTCCGGACACATTTTCACCATTTTCACCCCTTTCTCTGGTTCTTCCAAAAGTTAACTTTAACTTTTTCTGACTCTGGAGGAATGTAGGGTGAGTTGTCAGGGGACTCGACCCGCCTTAGGAGGCACTATTCCCGGATACATTTTATCCATTTTCACCCCTTTCTCTGGTTCTCTGGTTGCATCCGTCTCTGGATCATGGAAGAATGCATCCGCTGCATGAGGACTTTGGATCGGATACAATTGTTGCCTTGATGACCCCCAATCATGGTTCTTACCAAACTTAACGTTTTGAACTGGTCTCCGGAAGAAAGTAAGGGGAGTTGCCAGGGGACTCGACCCGCCTTAGGAGGCACTATTTCACCCAGTTTTGGCTCCCGCCTTGCCTGGATGATAGGACCGATAGATGACAGGGATCTCTGCCCGCCTAACGAGTGCCTAAATGGGACACCTTTCGCACGATGATGCAAATGGGTTATTTATTGAAAATAAACCGGAGAGATTTGACATGGGGTCTTTCTAGTTTGCTGAGTGCAACTTTCTTATTTTCACCTATCCTTCTTTGTCCCCCCCGGTTCTATACATTATACTGGTGACACTTCCCGGTACCGAAATGCTCAGGCATACAAAAATGATGGCGATCGGTTGTCCTATCTGTAATAGTCCCTACCGTGCCCTGAGCAAGCACCTGCTGAGGAACCATAGTGTGCGTAATTTAGTTGAAAGAAGAATTCTGCTGTTGTTGGCGAAAGGACGGATAAACATTAGGCTCCATCCCTGCATTATTGCAGGATGCGAGTACATCGGGACAAGGCTGGACCGCCACTTGTACAGAAACCATGTTGAGCTGTCCCGGCAGGAATTACATGTGGTTTTAACTAAACTAAAAATGAAAGTGGCCACGAAGAAGCTTCATGAACTCAGTTTGACAAACCCCACAGTAGCAATGATTACCTCTTGGGATGTGGACACTGTGGGTGATGATGTCCTGTCACAACCTCCACCCTTGTCCCCAGTGATTAAATGTGACAACCCGGACTGTAAGGAATGGAGGATGGATGCAAACAGAATGAAGGCTCAGAGGGACATATATGCTGCTGAGGTGAAATCCCTGCGCTGCATGCTGCAGCAGAGGATTAAACGTAACCGAAAGAGGATGAACCAGAGGGCCGAGGACCAAGAGCGGGTGTTTCTAAGGAAACGATCCCGAACAGAGTCAACACCAAAGAGGCTGTCCAAGTCCAAAGGTCCCTCCTGCAGGAAGTCCCCCATTGCCTCTCACACACCTGTATCCAGCTCCTCAGAACCTGCATCCATAGATACCGAGGCCTCGTCATCCTCCCCTCCCATACATTCCCCCTGGTTCAGCGGCAGGGGCCGGGGGAATCGAATGCGGGACATTACATTCCCACGCATCATGGAGAAGTATCTGCAAGGCTACCGGGACCATTATGAGGGCATCGATCCAACAGTGAGGCTCCAAGAAAACGCAGTCTCCAAAATAAGCAGAGTCAAATAATTCCTAAGCTTCATGGCACACGGTTTCAATCGCCTGTCTGACTGGCTCTTTTTGAGGGATCTGAAGAGGATACGTGGGTGGTCCCGGAGCCTGATAAAGTCAAGCCTACAGGTCACGACATCTGACTTCTATATCAAAAATATATCACACTTTCTCAAGTACATGAATGAAACACCATGCAAGGGGAGCAGGCTGAACCAGAATGACATGATTTTAATCACACGGGAAGTTGCTGCCATCCTGAAGTCCATGAGAAAGAAGGTGTTTATCCACCAGATGCAGGTGAAGCGGGACAAGATGGAAGGTCTGCCAAGCCATAAAGACATCATGGCATGTTTGACTGCGGCCAAAACTCGCATCCCTCAGCTCCTGGACGTGATGACCAGCAATCCGACTCACGCAACCCGGAGCCTGCTCTATGGGTACATGACCCTCAATTGGAGCTGCATTTATGGGCACCGTCCGGGGGTCTACTCCAACATGACCAACACGGAGGTCCTAAAGGCGGAGATAACTGGCACTGCCTTTGGCCACCTCATCCACGTGAGTGAGCTATTAAAACATGTGTTTATTCTGGCAGTGATACACATGTTGTGGATGATTGATACTTGTATTGACGCTCTCTAACCCTGTCATAACAGGTAAGCAACCACAAGACGGCCAACGCGTTCGGGGAAGCGCAGATGTACCTCACCATAGAAGAATTTGGATGGATGAAGAGGTGGCTGGAAATCAAGGGGACGCTGACCGGCACCAACAACCGCTACTTCCTCTGCATAGCGGGGAAGAACCCATCGAGGAACCTTGCCACCTTCCTGAGGTTGGCATGGGCTGATGTTGGACTAAAAGGTCCCATTAACTTCACCGACCTTCGCACAGTCCACGCCGATAATGCGAAGAGGTTTCAGGACATAAGCAACCGCCAAAGAGTGAGTGATTTCATGTGTCACAACACTGCAACTGCAGACAAATTTTATGCCAAGAATCCTTCTTTGAAAGAGGCTGCGGACATACGAATGCTCTTCACAGAGTCACTGCAAGCAGCGGCCGCAGCAGCATCAGGGGTGAGTGAAGACAATTTGGGGGACATTGACATCCACAGTGACCGTGACAGCTCTGGAGAGGAGCATAGCCCTACTCCCTACCAAGACTCCACCGATACCGAGACGTCAGATGAAGAATTATACAAAGACTTCAACGCTTGGAGAGCGGCGAAGAGGGAACAGTCAATGGCCGAACACAGTCCCTCAGACACGGGTGAAGAGAGGGTGCCAGCCTCTGCACCAACTTCACCCGATACGGACAATGTTGCCAGTGACCAACTGTAAATATGCAATGTTTTGTTGTACTCAGTCCGCTTGTGCTGGATGAGTTAATAATGTTATAATGTTATAAAGTGTCAATGTATATATTTCTGTAAATAAAGTTTGTTAAAATTACTTAATTTGTCCTCTTTTTTATAACCCAATATGGGTGTTTCCCCTTTAAGATCCCCAGGGGCACGAGGTTCTGGTGGTGTGCATGAAGGGGTTTAGTCCGCGTGAGGAGTGCTCAAATGTGGGAGGATGTGTAAGGCAGAGGAGGGTAAAACAATTTAAAGTGTGAACCTCCAGCAGGGCAGGTGGTGCTGCTGTGAATAAAGCCGACTATGGAGTCCGATGTGCGGACGGTAAAGCACCGCAAAATACACCCCCTGATAGGTAACCAGGGCCATGAGAACATCCAGGACAGGAGGGTGGGTGCTGCTGTGAATAAAGCCGACTATGGAGTCCGATGTGCGGACGGTAAAGCACCGCAAAATACACCCCCTGATAGGTAACCAGGGCCATGAGAACATCCAGGACAGGAGGGTGGGTGCTGCTGTGAATAAGGCCGACTATGGAGTCCGATGGGCGGACTGTAAAACACCGCAAAATACACCCCCTGATAGGTTACCAGGGCTATGAGAACATCCAGGACAGGAGGGTGGGTGCTGCTGTGAATAAGGCCGACTATGGAGTCCGATGGGCGGACTGTAAAGCACCGCAAAATACACCCCCTTATCGGTTACCAGGGCCATGAGAACATCCAGGACAGGAGGGTGGGTGCTGCTGTGAATAAGGCCAACTATGGATCGATGGGCGGACTGTAAAGCACCGCAAAATACACCCCCTTATAGGTTACCAGGGCCATGAGAACATCCAGCACAGGAGGGTGGGTGCTGCTGTGAATAAGGCCGACTATGGAGTCCGATGGGCGGACTGTAAAGCACCGCAAAATACACCCCCTGATAGGTTACCAGGGCCATGAGAACATCCAGGACAGGAGGGTGGGTGCTGCTGTGAATAAGGCCGACTATGGAGTCCGATGGGCGGACTGTAAAGCACCGCAAAATACACCCCCTTATAGGTTACCAGGGCCATGAGAACATCCAGGACAGGAGGGTGGGTGCTGCTGTGAATAAGGCCGACTATGGAGTCCGATGGGCGGACTGTAAAGCACCGCAAAATACACCCCCTTATAGGTTACCAGGGCCATGAGAACATCCAGGACAGGAGGGTGGGTGCTGCTGTGAATAAGGCCGACTATGGAGTCCGATGGGCGGACTGTAAAGCACCGCAAAATACACCCCCTTATAGGTTACCAGGGGCACGAGTTTCTTGAGGGTGTAATCATCTGGGTTTAGTCCGTGGGGGAGTGCTTAAGTTCGGGGGCCCGGGGTTCCAAGGTGCGCGAGGTTATGGAAGTACGCATGTCAGGGAGAGATGCTGGAGGTCTGTAGTCCGTGTTTTGGGGCTCTGTGAGCGGCCAAAGTGAGGTGGTTTTCCCGGTGTATTTCATGGAAGTGTGACATAGCCTGTGTCCTGTGAAATAGCCTGTTTGCCCATGTCAAATCTTATTATGAGGCACTATTTTGGGATACATTTGATCCATTTTAACCCCTTTCTCTGGTTCTTCCAAAAGTTCACTTATACTTATTTAGCCTGTGGAGGAATGCAAGGGGAGTTCTCAGGGGAGTCTCCCTGCATTATGAGGCACTATTTTGGGATACATTTTATCCATTTTAACCCCTTTCTCTGGTTCTTCCAAAAGTTCACTTATACTTATTTAGCCTGTGGAGGAATGCAAGGGGAGTTCTCAGGGGAGTCTCCCTGCATTATGAGGCACTATTTTGGGATACATTTTATCCATTTTAACCCCTTTATCTGGTTCTTCCAAACGTTAACTTTAACTTATTTAGCCTGTGGAGGAATGCAAGGGTAGTTATCATGGGACTCTACCTGCATTATGAGGCACTATTTTGGGATACATTTTATCCATTTTATCCATTCTGTACATTTGGCTTACCGCGACTGGTAGTTAATGTCGCTACGGGGGACGCGTATATCCCTAAGGTATGTAAGGGAGGAAACGTATACAAAATGTACACCACCCCAAATTGATCATGTTGTTGATAGTGCTACAGATGCGCTGCGAATAAAATTAGACTCTGTTGCTCCTTTGAAAAAGAAGAAAATAAAACAACATAGATTAGCTCCATGGCATAATGCCGAAACCCGCAAAATAAAGCAAAAGTCGAGACAACTTGAAAGGATATGGCGTTCCACTAAATTGAAGAATCTCGTTTAATTTGGCATATTACTCTCAATGAATATAAGAAAGCACTGCGTAAAGCGAGAGCAGCCTACTACTCTTCATTAATAGATGAGAATAAGAATAATGCAAGATTTCTTTTCAGCACTGTAGCCAGGCTGACAGAAAGCCACAGCTCGATTGAGCCTTCTATTCCCATAGCACTCAGTAGGAATGATTTTATGTGCTTTTTTAACGATAACATTGTTACTCTTAGAAACAAAATTAATGACCTCTTGTCTTTGACCAGTATAGTGTTATCAACAGCTCCCGGAAACGTAAGTTCTAATATTACACTAGATAGTAAACTAGAATGCTTTTCAGCCATAAACCTTGAACAATTAAATGCAATGATTCTCTCTTCTAAACCATCAACGTGTATGTTAGACCCAATTCCAACTAAGCTGTTGAAGGAAGTTTTTCCATTAATTAGCACTTCTTTATTAAATATTATGAATATGTCTTTATTATCAGGCTATATTCCACAATCATTCAAAGTAGCAGTGATAAAACCGCTTCTTAAAAAGCACAACCTCGATCCAGAGGTTTTAGCCAATTATAGACCTATTTCTAATCTTCCGTTCCTCTCAAAAATTATTGAGAAAGCGATCGCAAAACAGTTGTGTGATTACTTAAAAAACAATGATTTATTTGAAGATGTTCAGTCTGGCTTTAGAACACATCATAGCACAGAGACAGCTCTGGTTAAAGTCACAAATGACATTCTAATAGCCTCTGACAAGGGACGTGTCTCTATTCTTGTTTTGCTCGATCTCAGTGCTGCATTTGATACTATCGACCATGATATCTTATTGCAAAGACTAGAGCACTTAGTTGGCATACAGGGAACTGCTTTAGGCTGGTTTAGGTCCTATCTATCTGAACGCTCTCAGTTTGTACGTGTTAACGATGAATCTTCCACGCAAACAAAAGTTAGCCATGGAGTGCCACAGGGCTCAGTGCTCGGACCTATTTTGTTCACATTATATATGCTTCCGTTAGGCAATATTATAAGGAATCATTCTGTAAACTTTCATTGTTATGCGGATGATACTCAATTATATTTATCCATCAAGCCTGATGAAATTAATCATCTAAATAAAATTCAAGACTGCCTCAAGGACTTAAAAACGTGGATGACCTTAAACTTTTTGATGTTAAACACGACCAAAACTGAAGTTATTGTACTTGGCCCGAAGAATCTACGAAACAAATTATCTAAGGATATACTAACTATGGATGGCATTAATTTGGCCTCCAGTGAGACTGTAAGGAATCTTGGTGTTATATTTGATCAGGATTTATCCTTTAACGCCCACATAAAATCAATTTCAAGGACTACCTACTTCCATCTACGTAACATTGCAAAAATCAGGCATATCTTGCCTCAAAACGATGCAGAGAAACTAGTCCATGCATTTGTTACTTCAAGGCTGGATTATTGTAACTCTTTATTATCAGGGTGTACCAAGAAGTCAGTCAAGTGGCTTCAGCTGATTCAAAATGCTGCAGCTCGTGTACTAACCAGTTAGGAAAAGGGACCACATTACTCCTGTTCTCACTGCCTTACACTGGCTCCCTATAGAACACAGGATAGAATTTAAAACTCTTCTTCTCGCCTACAAAGCCCTTAACCTCTTAAGCCCTGAGCCTGTTTTTATTGTTTCAGGCTCGAAAATGCTATGCCCAAAACAAATGACTATAACTTAACTTCTAAAAGGGTTATATGAATAATGTATTTTATCAAAGCAAGGTTACATCTGTGAGTTGGATGTAGAAGTGTCAGAATCAATATAGATATTTCTCAGTCAGAGTAAATTCAGATGGAACATAGTAAAAAAAGGTAAATTCTTACCCCCGCCTAAAAAAAAAACATTACTTATAGTGAAAACTACCCTTGAATGATGGGATAGTAGACTAAAAGCTTTAGGAATCCAAAGTATAACATATAATAAGTACCCTGTATCAAGATTGAGGCAAAACAAGTTAAATTTGACCCTTTTAGAGAGGTTTAGCTAAAACTGACTGGACTGACCTTTGGGCACATTTGGATACCATCAGTGCCATTTGACCTTTTTCAGGTACCATACTGTAAAAATAATTGTATTATCACTACAGGTAATCATTCCATCCAAATAAAGTGTTTTTAAAAAAAAAAAATAAAAATTTAAATTACATTTATTTTGTATGTAAATGATGTGTGTGTGGACTTTGCCACAGTCCTTGCATGTTTATCACCCGACTAACACTTCTAGGAAGGTTTACTTACACAATAACAATTAGCAAACATAGGATACACTTGTCTCTTGTCTTGAGCAGATTTATTTCAAAAATAACACTAAAAAACGACACTAAAACCGAAATAACACCACGAGCATTTTTTTTGTAAATACTGGCAAAAAAGAAAAAATGTACACAACCTGAATGTGTTTAGTGTTTTTGAATTGAGGCACCAGGCACTTAGTGCAGTAGATAGGTCTTCACCGTTGTGTTGCCAGCATCAGAGCACCTCCTGAGCGCGGTGGCATCTTCCCCATAATACTTGGGAATGCATACGAGTGATGATATGGGGGGGGGGGGGGGGGGGGGGGGGGGGTGGTGGTGGTGGTGCTGCAGGGACTTCACCCCTCATGTCTGCAGCAAGCTGCTCCCTGAAGGACTTCTGGGTGTGTGGCTTCGTCCTGCCGGGGTCACCCCTCATCTTGTGCAACTCCTTGTGGAGAAGGAAGCTGTTCACCACTGCAATGTCCAGAAAATGGTAAAAAAAAAAGAAGGTCTTGTACCATTTCATGGTTTTGTGGTGAACACTGTAGTACCCAATCAAAGC